GTTTTTAAAGCACATTCCATTACCTAAATGAATAAATTGGCTTATTATTCTTTTTTTAAATATTTTTGTTTTTCTATTTTTTCAGTTTTGATGTGGAGAATGGCCCATCTGCCAGCTGCAGCCCTTTGGACCCCCAGTCCTCCCCCGGTTCCGGTCTGGTCCTGCACACCAACTTCCCAGGACACAACCAGCGCCGAGAGTCCTTCCTCTATCGGTCCGACAGCGACTATGAGCTGTCCCCCAAGTCCATGTCACGAAACTCCTCCATCGCCTCTGAACTGTAAGCGGCAAACACACACGAGGCACACGGAGCGACAAATACATTTTACAGAGCAGCACATTTAAAAAGATCACTTTCATCATCACTAACTTTATGTCTAACTGGAACGATGACAGCTCTGATCAGGGCTGCTTAAGTTCAGAAGGTTTTTTATTTGTGTCACATTTTAATCAAAGCAACATCACGGATTTAAAGCAAACTTCAGGAAATTGATTCAAATTTTACCATTTTTTATGTGTAAATTTGATTTGGTTAAAAAAACGAGAACATAAATGTAAAAACCATCTAAACTGATGAGGTCTGCGTCAACTCTTATAAAGGTTCATGAACTGATGGTCTGCTGAGTCATGCAAATTCAAAACATTTTGTTTCCACTATCTTTTCATTTGGAAAAAAATAGCATTTATTCAGTTACTTTCATAAAACTGTACAAATCATATTTATATAGATGGCCAAAAAACACCATCTCTGATATTTTGTGCATAGTGTTTTTGAACATGACTAAAATACATTCCTTATTCTGTRTTTTCAGACATGGTGACGACCTGATCGTGACTCCATTTGCTCAGGTAAAAACATCTCAATAAAAACAAAATCCTTTTTTTTTTTCTTATCAATCAATTGTCTCAATAACAATTTATATCGCACTGCACTCTACAACCAGATTAAACAAACACCTTCATGCCTCGTCAATGAAAACTATGAATAACATTAAAACACAAAGTATGCTCATGATCACATTTCCTGTCATCCTTTCAGGTTTTAGCAAGCCTTCGAAGTGTAAGGAATAACTTCACCATACTGACTAATGTCCAGTGTCCTTCTAGCAAGTAAGTGTCACCAAGTTCAAGTCTAAAAGTTAAACTGTCAATTCAGCCTTTTCGCCACCAGGTGTCAGTGTTGAACCATAAACTGAGGGAACCTGCAGCATCACAACTGTTTCCACAGTGGAGTGCAGAACTAGTTCAACAATCGGACACATTTTACAAACATAAATATGCACAAGTAAATCATCCGTAGGGGTTAACCATTCCACAGCAGGAGKAGGATAAATAATTGATTGTTAGTGGATTCTACGCTAAACAATCTTTAAATTATTTTTATTCAGTAATAAAACTGAAGGATAACTTTTCTCCATGTCACATAATTAAAATGGACAATAAAGTTATGTGTTTATTAAAAAGCAGGATCATACTATAGTTATATTTGTTTAAGATTAATTAAAGCAGGGCAGTTTTTTAACAGTATTCACCTTCAGCATCATCACTCAGGATTTCGATGTCAGATCCAGATTTTGTTTTAGAATGATGTTTCTGCTGTTCATCGTGAGCACCTATCTGTGTGCAGTTCAGTGTCTTCAGAAGCAAAGAGCAGTCGGCTGGGCTACAGACTGTATTTACACTCGGTTGGTTTGGTGTATTGAGCGCCAGAAACCTGTGTGACCTACATTCAGCTCTGACACCCCTGTAAAGACAGACATGTAGGCGTTAACTAACATGTTCACACAAGTTCCTACAACATGAAACATTGCATTTATTTTTTTATTTTTTTATTTCTATCTGTATTCTTGTGACTGTGGCTTTAATCTTTTCTGGAACAAGTTAGGGAGAATAAAAGTGAATCTGTCAGTACTAGCTGATTTTCATTGAGAAATGTTATACTAATAAATCAACAAACATTATCTTATCACGCCAAATGGGGTGAGTTTTTTTTTTTTTCAGAAGAACCCATTTTCTGCCAGATCATGAATATTATTTTACTTTGAACAATCTTTGAAGCGTGTGTCAACGCCTCAGTCAATTTTCATAGTCGGGTGTTACTGAGACACATCTGTTGCTGTTTGTTTTCGAACTTACCTCCGTTTCTTTTTTCTCGCTTACGGAGGCAAAATTTGCTGCTTTTCTACTTTTTAATTTCAGCCCTGATGCAAAGCACATTTGGAACATGCCACAGAACAATAAGCCCTTGGATAATAGAAATACAAACATGGCTTCATTAAAACTAAAACCCCAAATTTTGAAACCACCAGTTTGACTGTTTAAACTCCAAACTGTTTTTTGTTATAGGTAGTGAGGTAAAACTTAGCTGCAATATTATTGTTTTTTTTTTTTTTT